TATATATATATATATATATACACACACACACACACACACACACACACACACACACACACACACACACACACTCAATTGTTGATGTGTAAACATCCGTAAAAACATATTTTCCATCATTGTATTCTCCCATCATCGAGGCTAGTGTTGACATGCAGCATTTGGAGGTTGTGAACACCTCACGGTGAAATACTTGGCGCCATTGCGTAATAAGACATTTAGTGAACACAAACAGTATTTCTGAAGTGACACTGTTATCTGCTAGCCTGGCATGCAGATCATTGCACTTTCAGTCAATTTTACAAACCTGCATGTGCCGAGATCACAAAGACGTTCAAAAAAACAAAAAACATTCTCCACGGTCGCTGATGCCTGAACGTCACTAAAAAGTCATTCGTTTCTCCATCGTTCTCATCTCCTATCATACCAAATGTGTGTTTTTAATCTGTCTGTTGTGTAAGACAACCTCAGGCTCTGAGAATGTGAGGTTAAACAGGAGCAAAACGCACCCAACTTGTACAACTCTAGTCAGCCAAAATGGTGCAAAAAAAAAAAAAAAACAGTCGGATGCTCGTCACGAGCCGGCGTTTCGCAGCATTTGCATGATCTGTAGACCGTTTGGCTCCAGTTGAAGCCTTCGGGCCTTGAATGGGGCATTGGAATGATATCAGTTTGCAAACACAAAGGGATGCTTGAAAGTATTTTCTTTATATTACAGGTATGTGAACTGAGTGTGCCTGTGCCAGACCTGGTATAGATTGACCTTCATGCGCAACACCGGCACTTTGTTCATTAGGTAGCCAGGCACTCCATAAGTGACGCTGCTCACAGTTCATTCCCATTGTAGCCCTTAATGATGGGATCGCGCAGATGTTTTTAGGTGTGCCTTTGCTGTATGAATTTCACTCCGCGAGTCATATTAGGGCTTCAAACAATACAGTTGTTTGGCACTGATAGGATTGTTTACAAGAATCCGTGGTGTAATTAGCAACGCTATCAGACATAGCTCAAGGCGCCTGGTGGAGAGATTAGCCTCATGTTGAAAAGTCATGTCTGGTTCCTGTCTGATTCACATCATTAACCTCCGATCGCTATCTCGGTAAACTGCATAAATTGCGATGCTCTTCAGCATGGTAGAACGTGCTTAGTGTTGTTGCATGAACGCAATCGCAAAAAGACACATTGTTACTTATGCCAGGTAGGTAAAGTCTGTTTTGTGTGTGTTTTGTGTGACAAGATGAAGCAATCAGGACGTAACTGATTTGTGCTCGACTGTTAAATTTTGCTCACCTAATCTAAGATCTATTCATTGTGCCTTTGCCAAGATAATGATGCTCAGTCTTGACTGAACAGTGTTCACAGTTCACAGTCGTATCGAAACTGAAATGAAACTATCCTTTGGATGGCAGAATTGTTGTATTAGAACACGCCTTAAGGTCATCAAGAGTAAACAAAGGGATACAATTTTTGGTCCGTGTGGAGATATCGAGCTCCGTTTGTGGCAAAATTTGTGGAGCATTGGCGTGACAAAATACTGCAAGACACAAAATCCGGACTTACGTGAAGGTCGGATGCAGATGACGTTTTACAGCGATCCAAATTTGGATTGTTTGGTGACGGCAGACGTCTATGCTCTCCTGAGTGCCATTGAAGTAGGCTGTGAGGATGACAGATTTTATATACTGCAGGTAATGTTTACTTTGAGCTCCTCATCATCGTTCTCAAATTGCGGAGTTACATCTTGGCACTCTGTGTCTGGGAGAGACCCGGCCTACAGTCACTTAGCTTAGTAAAGCAATTAAGGGCCATAAGAATACCCTCAAGCAACAGTCCTGATGAAGTTGCGTAGTACACCTTTTTTTTTTTAATCCTCAACATGAACAATCAAACTTCCCCTTGAGAGCCAACAACTTTAACAACAACAAAATTTAAAAGACAGTTGGAATCATACGCCCACGAAGAACTGGTTTATACTGAAACCCTTGCGTGCTTGAGACACAAAGGTCGTGAGAACTCGACGATCGGTGAGCATCATTATTTGAGGTTGCAGAGGCCGAATGAGTTATTTCGGACATCGAGAAAGACAAATGGGTCAAACTTCTCCAGTGGAAAGCCTCAAGGCATCTGGCGCTGCGGTGTGGGAGTCTGCCGCTACATATAGCCTAGTATATGCTACGTTTCAATGAAAACATCAGAAATGAAACAACTGCATTGACACATGCATTCCACGCCAAGACACACAATCGCATCTTTCAAATCCTTAAACAACCTTTGCCTTCACGGTCGGCGGTGGACGGCAGACGTTCAAATAGTAGACAGATTGATCGGGCTTTTTGATGGATTGCTTATATTGTTTTCCCACTAGATACTAATGTTGTATGCATCGTGCATGAGAATAACTCAGAATATTTCCGACACAGTTCAGTTCACAATGTCTTTGCTTGCATTAACCGCTAAAATAAAATGCAGTTACAGAATTGCCTTTGGGTAATTATTACAAAAGCGACAGTATTTGTTTTTTTTTTCTTCTTAAAGAATGAATGTGAAGAAATAAACTTTTTTTTTCAATCAAGAATTTGTGAAATTTACTCCACAGGTGTCTTTCTGAAGCTTCGCCGCAGCTGTCTGTCTGCAAGCTGAATACTTGG